GGAAGCCACAAGCGATGGCGCATCGCAGCCGTTCCCTTACTATCGAGAGATTCAGTAGGGTTTTGTTGGCCCTCGAAAGTCTCAAGATATATATGTATATGTATATATGTGTATATATACATGTATATATATATATATATATGTATATGTGCACGTTTGCGTTGAGTTTGTTTTCCTGTGTTGCGGCTTTTTTCGGAGGGCCGGAGGGATCAATATGATGTGTGCTTCGGACATGCCAGGGGGTGCAATAAATACGCTGTTTGGAGATTCTCATGGCAAGGCGGCGGATGGGGCTTAAAAAGGAACAGCTAGGACCCGGCCTTGGCGCAGTTTCCGAGCAGCCACTGGCAAACCCAGAGCCATGGGTTGTTGGCAGCGTTCCGTGCCCAGTTGTGGTTGTTCTTTGTTTGTGCGGGCAGCCAGCGGTTCGCTGCACAGCCAATTTGATGGGGTGGAGTGGGAGAGGATGTGAAAAAACGAAAGCACTGACGGCTGATGTCACAGATCTGGGAATCTTGAGTTCTCGGGAGGTTCTTGGTTCAAGGTCTGATTGGCTCTCCTCGAGCTAAGAGAGCCCATGGGCCGCCGGGAGGTGTTTGTCCTTTGCCAAGGCTTTCCTTAAGGAAACAAATGTTCCCCCAGGCTTTCTGGGGGTTGCCCCCCATGAGCAAGTACCCCGGATTTGCGGTGGTTTAGAGGGAAACCAAGAGGAAAGACCCTGGATTTGGGGTGGTTTAGATAAACCGCCCCAAAACCGGGGTACTTCCTCGCCCCCATGTAGCCACCGATCGGGCCACGCGTTCCAGGTGGTGCTGCCGGGACAAAGTTGGTGCCACGAGGAGGGCGGCCTGGCGGGGAGGCCAAGCGCGGATGTGTCTCAGGCCTCCAGGCGGGAATTCCCCTTGAGCATTGCTCGTTACAAACCCCCCCCAAAAAAAAAATAAACAAAAACAAAAACAACAAGCAACAAGGGGCACCCTCAAACACAAACAGTCGGTTTCCCGTTTTTTTTTTCTTTCTCCTTCTTTTTTTTAAGGGGGCACCCTCAAACACAAACAGTAGGTGTGCTGAAATGAAGGGAGTTGCGTAAGGAGTGTGCGCAAAGTCTCAACTCGGATTGGAAGCAGTCCGTCAGTTTCGGAGGCGATCCTCGTTTGTTTCGCCAAGGGCCGCCTGTGCAGAACGGCAAAGGGGTGTTGCTTTTTTAGAAAGAAGGTTGCCTGGAAACAGGGTTGTTGTCTGAGGGTTGTTGTATCACACCCTGGGATTACACCCTTGGGAAATGACCCAGAATGGTTCAGAACAACACGGTTTTATCCGGACATGAGTGCATCATGACATCCACGCCCTCGATGTGGACCTTGGAGTTCCGAGATCGGATTGACGGGCTTCAGAAGAGAGACGACTTCTGAGTTGACACAAGATGCATAAGCGAAAGAGGACAATTTGATTCAGTACGATGTATCTCCTCGAGCTGCTCAGAGGTAGATTCACACAAGCGATGATATTGTTCTTCCCGCTTGGTCGATTAGTACCTTCCGCAACGTGATCTACTGCAAATGTGTAGGGCAAGGCTTTCTGACGGGCTGCCGACCAAGCAAGCTAAGATTCGCGCGAACCCATCTCAACTTAGAATTGAGAGCAGGACATGGCAAGCCTTGAAGTAACGTGTTCAACAAACAAGGCAATTAATGGGTGGTTTGCACCACCCAAACTGTTCAATCCTGGGACCAAATAACACCCTCATGCCATCTTTATGCGCGGGTGGTTCACAGATGTGTGTTGGTACCTTCCAGAGGCATCTCCGCCTGTATGATATTCGAGCTCCTCGAGGGCGGCAGATGCTGGTGTGTGAGATGTGGAGATCCCGCCCCATGCAATCGAGAACCATCCTGGACATTTATTGAGCTTGAACGCACAACTGTTAGCAGTTTTTGTCGGATTGAACCGATGCCGAAGTTGTACCCCTCTTTCAATCGCGCTGGGCTTTGGGGCGCGCCATGTGTGGCTAATCGGTCAAGTGATGGGAAGGTAGTCCGAGGCAAAACTTGAGAGTTCCATTGCAACAAATGAAGCGAATCCAATTCAACATGTGTCAAATGGCCTAACCGCCTAACCCCAGTCTCAAGTAACCCCCCAGTCCCGGAAAGACCGTCAGCTCACAGAAATGCGATCCCGAGTCTTTGCCAAGGAGCCAAACATGCAAATCCTAGAGAAGACTTTGGAGATCCTCTGGCGCGGCGAGCAGGACGCGTTCGCGAATGCCTTTCAGCCTCTGTGTTCCAGGGGCAGCTCGGAGACAGGGACGAAAGGATTGAATTGAAACAGCCACTGAAAGGGCGCCAAAGAAGTGACCGGAAGGCTTGATGGAAGGGTGTCTTGGCCGGACAGTGGAGCACGTCGGGCGTGCGCATTGAGCAACGAGCAGGTTCGTGGGTGGTTTTGGTTCCGTGGACAAGCCCAAATGTGGAGGCCACGCGGCTCCAATTTGCCACTGGGGCGGTACCAAACAAAAGTTCAGTTGTTGCCTTCTGAGTTCTGAGTGGTTCCTGACTCAGCATGCGCAGTAGAAACTTGGTAAGTTCATGTCGGATTAGCCTCGGGCTCTTCGTCGACATTTGTATGAAATGAGTCAACATATGTCATGCACTCGTGAGTGGGGTTTCAATACGTTGAGTCCCCTCTCACGAAAAGAAACGCTTCCTGCACTCGCAATGAGTAGAAAATTGGCTAATGTGATCGAGGCGCCCTGGCAGGTGAGTTAGTAGCCCTTTGGAGCCCCTCCTTTGACAATCTTCATGGCCAAAGACATCCTGTTGATTGATGCACACCTGATTACCTCTTTCCAAAGTTGGCAATCAAAACTCAAAGAGTTCGTGGTCATCCATCACAAATTGCTTCCCCAAGCGTGGCCGTCCGGTCCACAGCAGCTCGCTGTCAAATCGTGCAAGGATGACGAACATCCGATGATACACGATCAAGGGCTTCTGAGGCAGCTCTCCGAACAATGAGCTGTCCTGCGTGCGCCATAAGTCTTGTGCAACTTGTGGGGGTGTTTTTGACTGGTTTCTTAACATGTTGATGTGACCACGACCATTTGCGAAGAATAAGAACTGTCAAAGCAGCGAAAGGATTCTACAGGACGGCAACAGGGCATAGCGAGAGGTTGCACCTTGCGAACGTTCTTCCACAGGAAACCACCCCTTTCAAGTTCAGTTGCGGCAAGTTACAAAAAAACCAAGTGCAGCAAACGCGGCCTGAGTGCAACTTATGCTGTGGGTCTTGTCCGCTTTCAGCTGGCTCCACGAGCGCCAAACCAAAGTTTCGATCAAGACTTGGGCGCGCAAAAGGAGGACATCCAGGCGCCTTTCGCAGGGCGCGCGGATGCGCGCGGTGTAAATCAGGCGGGTGCTGCCAGGCTTTGGATATGATTGATGTGGTTCAGCTTGTCCTACGCTTTCGCAGCCCGAAAGGACGAACCTCAGGAATTCTACGCTTTCACAGCCCGAAAGAAGGACGAACCTCAAGAGACTGCCATGTCCTTTTCTGAAGGAGCAAGCACGCCTGAAGCAAGCTCGGCACCTTGGGACCTGCAAAAAAAAAGCTTCGCTTTGAGGTCATTTGTTTGCCCCAATTCCTTTCTTCAGCATTCAGCCTGGACAATTCTTCTGCACTCGCGAGCAACTTCCTGCGGCACGTTCCTGGCATGGTGATGGGGTCGAGGGCCTTGAGGCCTTGCAAGTTCGAGAAACTCATCGAAAGTCGGCGTGTACTGGTGGGGAAGACATGGCAAAAGCCCTAAATGCAATCTGCCCAAGCCCTCAGAAAAAAAAAAAAAAAACAAACAAACTCATAGTGTTTGTTGGTCATGTCCGCCAGGGCAAGAATGTAGTTTCAGGATACCTTGTTCCGATGTGTTTGTGTTTGCTTGGCAGGAGTTGCTGTCATAGCTGCATTCGGATATTTTGGGCAGACATTATCTTACAGCGCATGGGTATCGCCAATCCACAGCTTGAGGCCTGTGGTGGTTTGGGCCGGTCTGTGATTTGAGCCACGGGGCGCCAACTAAAAGTTGCCAACCTGCCCCCAAGAAGAAACCAGGCGCAAGCTGAGATACTGGTTTTCGCAGGCCGGATAAATGAAACAAATAGAACATTGCCTCACTACATATCCTAGTTGGACAGCCAAAGTGATGCCTCGTCCCCAGAAGTACTCTTTTGGGATGCGTCTTGTTGGGTGAATGGGACTCAGGCTAGCGTTGACCCCAGATCTATAAGCCCCTGTTTATTAATGTGGGGGTGTTCCCCTCCAAAAGTGATAAATTCCCACTAAAACCAGGGACACCCCCCATATTAATAAACAGGGGAGTTCCATGTTGCTTCTCATCACGGGGTGCTCGTTTGAAGCCAGGCCCCAGCTTCCGGGGCTGTGTGTAAATCTGGGGTTACCACGTCATTCGCAGATATGGCTGTGGGTCAAAACCATTGGTACCGTTTTGGGTAGGTGATTTCACCACCCTTTTTAGATGTTCACTGGGGGTACGGGATTTTGACCCATGGCCATATATTCCAGCAGGCTGTGATTTACATGTGCGATGGTCTTCAGAAGTTGTGTTGCTTGGGTATTGTGTTGTCATATTGAGTATGTGCATGGTCGGTGTGAGTCAGGATTGCTTCACGAGCATTCTCGCGATGCAGACAGTTAGTTGTCTCGCTCATGTTGGGGCGCTCCTTTTGCAGTTGACTTATTCCCTTTTCCTTGGAAGGCAATAAAATTCGGCTCGACTCGTCCTCGGCACCTTGCAATCGTGCAGAGCGTTGCAGGGCATTTGACCATCCATTCAAACCGGGCCGACATCGAAGAAGTCCCAGATGTGCATAGGGCCACACGGTGCATATAGGGCTTGATAAGACACCACATTCACAATTTGCTAAACACGAGTGAGAAGATGTGGACGTGCCAATCCTGGTCGGTTACATGGGTTGTCCCCATAAAAAACTAGGGCTTTAATATCGCTTAAGAGGTTTCTGGCTTCCCTTCAACGAACACTTAACAGGGTCCCCGTACAAAAGCCACGCCCATATGTTGCTTGTTCGCGATGCTTGTCTAAGGCTTGAGGATTCAACAAATATGCAATGATGATTTCCTTGCTGGCTGTGCTTGAAACCAGGCCATTCACAGCAGGACCATGGGACTGTTGAGTTTTCTTGTGGCAGGCTTGTTGCTTTAGGCCCAGTTGCCATGCCGGACGCTGCAGGCTGCACATCAGAAATATCAACCAAAACAGGGCGTGTGACGCCGTTATGTACATGGTCCTTTCGAGCAACTGTTGGTCAGCATACAGTATCCGAATATGATTGCAGGGAGTGTCTCTGGACACTCACGAGCCTCGGCTCCTTGAGGTTTGAATGGGCATTAGCAGCTTTCTGGCCTCGAATTCTGAAGCGTGGGCGATGCAAAAGCGATGCCAGTTCGGTGACCTTCGGTTTCAGCATCCAGCGAGGTGCCTTTGTTTGGCCGCGGAATGAGAACTTGGCAGGAGCCCTTCTTGCGAAGAATAAGTCACCCCTACAAATGGCTGTGGCTCAAAATTGAACAGGAGGGGTTACGCAGGTTTTGGTCCATGTTTCCACTTACCAGGGTTCCATTTTGGCACCGGGTTTTTGAGCCACAGCCAAATTGATATCTACACATCTATGCTACACATTCTTAAAAGCAACAGCAGTGTTGCCAAAGGCACCTGAAACAGAGCAAGGAGTGCTTCAGTTGTTCGTATTATATACTGTTGCCGCCGGTGACCGGCCCATGCAGAAATTGAAACAACTTCGAAACATATGACCATACTCGAGCATTTGCAACCCCGGTTCCCCTATCTTGAAACATGTTTTTCTCAATGTTTGTTTGCTTTTGATTTTTGGAGGAAGGGGGAGACTGGGCGTTGTCTTAGGAGGAAGGGCAAAGGGTATTGATTCAATCGACCGCTTTAATTTGGATGGTCCATCCATGCAGGGCAGTTTAGGCCTGATGCGGTTTGAGCCAATGCAAACCCAGCATTGAAGACAAGCAACCAAAACGTCGGCGTACCACTTCAAGCAGCAGGACATGACCAACACCCTGCACACAATGTTCTCGTGATGGGCAGTTCCACTGCCTACAGTCGCTAAGGCTGCTTGAGTTGTGCAAATATTTGTTTGGATAATTATGGCTTCGACAAATACACTGTTTTGACCTTGCATGAGGCCAACGTGGCTTATCCCCAAAATGGCTGAGACTGGGTTGGCTGTTTGACAGTTTGACATGTTTGTAGTTTCTCAGAACTTCCATCTATACTTGAAGTTTTCCTTTGATTCCTGAAAAGCCGCGGTTTGGGCTGTGCATCAAGCAAAGTAGATTGCTTCCAACGACCGGGCCGGTACCAGGCTTTTCGCGATTGCCCTCCACACGCATGGAACGCGAGCAGCTGCTGCCAGTTGGTGTTTTCCTTCAGGATGGCATTGAGCATCTGATTTGGGCAGCTGGTCAAGCCAAGCATACACACCTAGACAAGACAAAAGTCATATGTGAACATCATTGCAAAGCTTTTAGTTGATTGGGGGAGCTACGCAAGAGCCAGGAATTGAGTTCGGTTTTGTGGCTTTGTGTTTTCGGAGTATGTTATGATTGATTCAAACTTGGACGAGTTTCCTAGCCAACTGTAGATAGATTGGCTTCGAGATGGTTTGTTTTTTGGTGTGCTTTGCACACAAGCAGGTGAATGTCGCGAAAACGCCTACTAGCCTGTTTGATTGCCTTTTTCTATGATGGCAGCAGTTGGCAGTGCAAGCAGCGCTATTTGCATGTTTAATTCTACCTTAGACAATGGGCAAGGATTTGGGAAGGACGCGGAAGACTTAGCACGACTTTTGAAGTTTTATAACCTTTGGCTGCCTTCCACGATGCCAGGGCTGTCCTGAAGCAACTGGCAGGCTGTCCGATGCATGCTTGTGCCGACTGCCTACGGCTACGTTTTGAAAGGCCTGGGTCGGTGCTGCGCGAGTCGCAGGCCAAGGAGCTTCCAATCCGTGCCCCAGCCGCGGTCGAGTGAACATTCCTCTTGCTTCGCTTCCTGCCATGCCAGCGTGGTTGCCGAAAACCAAGTTGTATTCGTGCAGGGGTCATGTGGTCACATGGCCGTTGGCCTACCATACCCGATGGATTGCACATCTGTGCATGGATCGCGACGATCCCCCTCACTAGCCGAAGCCAATGACCAGGCTTTTCACACTCTTGATGTCGCGGCAAGCCGCATCTCCAGCCGGCAGGGATGCGTAGGGCAGAGCTGCAAAGGTCACAGGAGCTGAAGGAATCAAAGTTGTGGCTAGGGTTGTGCTGGGAACTGCGGGCGCAGCTTGTCATCTTTTTCGGCCCGAGGAAAAAGTGTGGGTAACATTTGCCCCATACCAGTTTGTTGGGAATCCCCATAGTGTCTTAGGGACGGCAATCCCTTGGTAAGCCCCATGCCAAACTCATTGGAGTCATGCATCCCATGCCTTGTTTGAGCCTATTCTCTTGAAGTCTGGCGCCTGTGTCTAAGGCTCTGTTTCCACTTTCTCTGGTCGGACACAGCTCCGACTGTCGGGCAGGTTCCGCGATTCGAGATGTTGCTGTAAAGCGCGGACTGTGATTGGACTATGTCCACGCCGTGCACTAGTAGTGATGGATAAAAGCTTGCGAATTCTACTGTAAACTATCAACCCTGCCAACTGGTGCCAAGCGGATCTTGCCCATCCACACTACTTGACTGGATTTCCTTTTTATTCTGATGGTTGGGCCCGCTGGTTGGACAAACCCTGAATGTGATCTTGGAGCTCACCTTTGCTGCATGATGCATTGATGCTTTTGCTTCTAATTATGTGTGTGTGAGAGCTTCTTTTTCACAGCTACAGAAACAGGGCTCCTTAAAAGATACATTTTGCCCATTTGAAACATGGCTTTTTCCCCCCAAATAAAGGGACACCACCATTTACAAGGCAATGTTCAGGTGTATAATAATGTAAGGATCCCTGAGAAAATGCCTT